CTCAACCCTCAGTCCCTTTGGTTTTGTTTTTCCCCTCCTCTCTACTTTACTGGAGAAGGAGAGACTGTGTGAGTTTTAGTTGCTGGATCAGCCTAAAACCACGACACTATCATACTACTGTAATTTCAACATCTATTTTTAACCCCTTTAGTAACACTGAAGTCATTTGATTTACAGTCCTGAACTTACATTCTTGGATCCAAGCCTGCTCTTAGTAACTGACGCAACAGAATTAAATCAGCAGAAAATGGACCATTTGCCCATTATTTGTATTTTCAGGAAGGCACAACCTAGATAAAATTACTAAAGAATGAAAACATCTGATCCACAATCAAGGATCACATTCGAAGAATAGTTTCAGGTGGGTAAATGCTTTGAGAAAGAAGGAAGGGGGCTCTACCAAACAGCTCCCTGAGGTCACCAGGGCTCTGGAATAGAGAGAACTACTTACTTTATGAAGAGGCACACATATACTGTCTCCTTGTGAAGTGACTAGGACACTCACGTGTAAGAACAGTTAGGTGCTGGTACCCATCTCAAGGAACATTTAAGTATCTTTTATGAAGTGGAATACCATCAACTAAGGATAGAAAGAACAACTCACCCCCAAATACCCTCCTTTTGTTTGGCTTTGTTTGGCTTTCAAGGGCTAATGAAGTAGACAGAAGATTACCACAAATTGCCATCACAGTTGAAATAGACAGACTGGATAGACACACTCTCTTCCCTGTTTCTACATCAGTCAAATAATGGCTATTTTCTTTACTCCCAGTTCAGTTTATATCTTCAATTTCACACTATTCACCTTCAAAACAGCAAGTTCCTTCCTGCCATTCATCTTGCCCTCATAGAACTACTTGCTTTCCAGGATAATATAAACAATATTCATTTACCCATTTTTGAGCTCATGACAAATATCCCTTACCTGCTTGCAAAGCCAAACTAAAATATAATCTCACCTGAGTGTTTATTTCAATCAGTATTTCTTCCAATGAATCTTATAATTAATTGACCTTTTTTATAACTATTTCTGCTCCCCTGCTCAGAAGCTTCTTCCTTTCCAGATAAAGATATCATCCATTATTTGCACTGCAGTAAATGATATTCATATCATCTCTGCTTTCAGTTTTAAGTAAAATAGCTATTTCCCCAAAAAGAGTTAAGTTTGTATAAAGTGGGATAGTGCACTTGCATACAAAATTGCAAGCTGTTTTTAATGGCTTTCAAAATAAAAATATGTGATAATTAGTATTTTGTACAAGACTAATGTTGCTCTTTCTTGTCTGTTTTACTAAAACTAAGATTAAAATAAAGAAATTGAACAATTGAAAACAACTCATCAATTTAATTTTTCACCTTTACAAGTTTCCAACCTATCAAAAATTCTTTCATGCAACTAGTATTTCAACTTTAATCTCAAAAATCTTCCGTTGTTCAGCACAGTTCTGTATTTTAAATCATGCAAAATGAATCTTCTATAAACTACATAACTCACAAAGTATGATAGCTAAATATAATCTTGTATGAAATATACCATCTTGCATTTTCCATGAGAACCTAGATGTATCTGAATTTTTACTATACAGCTATAGTTCATTACATTGAGTAGTTAATTTTCACCATAAAGGATATTCCACACCATATAATAAATGAGTGGGTGGTGACATGTTTCCTTTTCTAATGAGCGGGCTGCAACTTTCACAAAAAGTGGTGATAAGTGGGGGAGAAGTACAACCAAGTTTCTTGGGTCAAAGAAGCTTGAAAGAATTGTCTTTAATATCATAGATGACACAGTATCTACTGAGAAAAGTAGAGAAATAAAACCAGGAGCTGATCCCTAATCACTTAACCTCACTCCCTTCTTAAGTAAAGCCAAAGAAGTCTTTGTTTAGAATCGGTGACAGAGGAGAAAACAAGTAAATGTTAAAAACTGTGCAAATGAGAATCCTCTAGAAAAGATGAAACACAAAAAGAAGAGAATGCAATGGAAGCAAAGCAACCTGTCGCAGTGAGGAGAAAAGTCTGGGAGCAAAGCAGTAGTTGCACAATTATTTTGGAAGTGAGAAGCAGCTAGAATTTATAAAAGCCAGCAAGTTGTGTAAGAACCATTAGAAATTTCAGAAGAAACAGGAAGAAAAAAAAGGGAATTCCAACAGAAAACACTACATCAACGATAGCGAGAGCAAGTAACTCTGTTTCTTTCATTTTAGCCGTTTAAGCTTTTCCTGAAACACATGAAATGTTTTAGCACAGCATTTTACATATTCATTGTAATTTTATGTTTATCTACTGCAAATATAATAGATATATATTCTCTTCCTGATCAGGAATCACTGCATAAGGGGCTTCTTTATATATACATAATTTTTTTTTTTTTTTTTTTTATGGAGGCCAGTTCTGTGAATCATACCTGCAGAACCAATAGCTATTTCCATAGGAGAACATAAATGCTCACATAACAGAACATGGAAGATCATTCTTCAAGAATCTGATGAAACTAGGAATTTCTGCCACACTATTGCATTTTAGTCACCACCTTTTCCCCTTACTATTTCCTGATACAATTCTGAATAAAGAGAGGTTCAATAAAGCAGCGACCGTTTTGTCTTACCGGAGTGAGTGCTCCTTCTGCTTGAGCTTCCATAGGACTTGTAGGAGTGGCTGCAAGAAGCTGTCCAGCAGGTCCGGACAGAAGTTCCAATTTATCCGTAAGCTGTTCAGAAACAGCAGGATGACACTCCATAGCTAGAACTAACTCCACCCCTGAGGTTTGGTTCTTGGCATGGACACTGTTTCCTGCCCAACCACCCTGTCTGGGCTGCTCTTCTGGAGGGGACTCCTCTAGAACTTGTAGTACCTCTGGCTCTTCATCTGAGGGACTTCCAGTCGTTTTGTGCCCTAAAGCCTCATTTGTCCTGAAGTCCTGCAAGTCCCGTTCCTTATCTATTATCACCCATTCCTTAGAGTCAACCTCCTGCCTGCAGGAGCTTAAGTTGACAGCTACAAATCCATTGCTAATAACACCATCAACATGTTCTGGAGAACTAGCTGACACAGGCTTTGAAGCATCTGGAAGATATTCTTCATCATAGTGCCAAACATGGTCCATGCGAGCAGTCACAGGAGCACGAATAGGTGTTTTCTGAGAAGGAGGAGGAACAGCAACAACAGGAGTCTCTGCCGCAGCATTCAAGTCTTTCTGCATCTTCACCAAACTTAAGAAAAGAAGTTAATATCTGAATTGGTTAAGAAATAATTAAATAATTTACACTACATTTGATTCTTTTCAGTAGAGGAAAACTAGATTTATATAAAAATTTGTCATATTTTAGAAAAAACTACAATGGTTGAAAGATCCACGATTTGACACAAATTGTCCTCTGATGTCAAGTGAAAATGGGCAGATGGTCTTACAAATTTGCACCTATTGTAAGTGTAATTGTAATGTATCATATTGTATTGTAAATGTAACTAACTACCAGAAGGGAGAATAGCGAGTGGATACCAACTCAGTGGTGACGCTACCACCAGACGTCCACTGTACTTAATTCATGCTACAAAGCATAGACTCAAAGCAGAACACAAGAAACAGATGTCTCTAGCAGCAGTTAGTAGATACTTTAGAAAAGAATGTTATTGTTTTGATTGATTCCTTATTTATGCTTTGCATAACTTGCTTCATCAAACAAATTCAAATTCCTAATCCCCCTATGATGTAGTTAGATGGATTTTGCCACTGTCAGCATCTCAGCTGTCTTCCACTGTCCCCACTCAGCCTCTGCCTTTCAGTCAGATTTCATTGTGTCCTTCTCCCCTTATTCTTTGTACACGTTGGCAAATTAATTGAACCTGATCTCATACATCTGTCTCTTCTCTACCTTCAAATTCCATTTTAAGACCTCTATCTTCTATCAACATTTTTTTTAATGTTGGTGCAACACCTGTGGGCATAACTAAACCTGCTGCATGCAGGTAGATTTCTAACTTAACTTTATAACTCCACTTCTTGTAAACTGTCCTTCTCATGTCATATAATCTAATCCCATGTTACCTCTATTGAGCACCTAATGTCATCATTCTTATTTAGGATTAGTTGCACTGACTGTCAAGAGTATCCCATTGAAGAAAAAGGTCATAAACATCAGGGTTACACCACTAGATCTTGAAATAAAAATAATCTGAAGTGTGGAAGTCCAACTCTAACTGTATGCCAGCACTAATTTTTTTAAAAAAGCTGCCAAGTGGTGAAATTAATGAAGCAATATTAGGACAATAGTAAATACTTTGCTGTAGCTTGCATAAGCATAAGTCAACAGCTCCACTCCTGGTTTTCACATGGTAGAGGAAAGATGATAGCATCTTAAATACATACACTGAAAAGATCTAAGCATCAAAATAAAGTAATTTCTTTACCAGGTCTCAAGAAATTTATCAGTGTCTGGCTTTGGCTCCAACGTCAGACGCTTCTCCAGTTCAAAGCTGTGAATTGAGCGTAACTTTCGCACCAGTGGGACATCTCTGTCTAGCTGGGTGGTCTCTGAGCGAACACGAATTGGAGAACCGAGACTCGGTGCATTAAGTATTCCATTCACTGGCCCATGGCTGTTTTCTTCCTCTGTGGCAGCCTATGAAAAAAGTAAGGTAAAAATGTAATTCACAAGGAATGACAAAACAGAGGAAAACAAAATACTGCATGGTGAATACCATCCATGTTTTTAGCCAGTGATAAGTCAATTTGTATTTGGAATGGTCCTTAAGTTCATGCCACAATTAAAGTAGTTTAGATATGCTTTTCAGCACACCTACAACAGACAAAATACTAGTAATATACTAGTTCTGAGTAGGTCTGAGAACAGGTAAAATACTCTAAACACAAAACCAGTAATACACTTAAATTTACTCCGACATTACACAACCACCTCTGAAATTTTCTTTAATAAGAGTCTGAAACACAGTACTTGTCAGCATCTTCAGTCTGCTTTACAGTTGAGTGCTCTTACTAAAGAGAAGCTAGTTTCCAAGCTGTCTTTATGATTCTCTGGAACATATAACACTGGTATAGACTAAATCTACTAGATATTTTTGCGACTTAGAACTACATTTTACTCTTATATAGAATCATAGAATTTCTAGGTTGGAAAAGACCTTAGAGATTATCCAGTACAACTGTCCCTAATCCCCATTAAACCATATCCCTAAACAGTTCATCCACCCTTTTCTTAAATACATCCAGGGATGGGGACTCAACCACCTCCCCGGGCAGTCTATTCCAGTGGCTGACAACCCTTTCAGAGAAGAAATTCTTTCTAACATCCAACCTGAACCTCCCCTGACTAAGCTTATACCCATGTCCTCTTGTCCTATCACCCATCACTAATGTAAAGAGCCCTTCCTCCACTTCCCCACCATCCCTTCTCAAGTACTTGTAGGCCGCAATCAGGTCTCCCCTCAGCCTCCTCTTCTTTTATGTATATATATATGACTACATATATACATCTTATATACCTACTGGACATGATTTAAAGCTAGGATATCATGATCATCCTTAGTGTCAACAGGTATAACTAACAGGAATTGCCTTTGTTTAAACCAGAGCAATCTTCCCTCTCCCTCTTTGGTAAAAAAACAAAAACAAAGAAACAAGCACATTTGAAAATAGACACCATGCCTTATTCCTTCCCACAATACATTTTTTTCTAGTAAACAAGAAGTAAGAGCCTCAAAACTAGACAGCAGCTCTCCTAGCTAAAAAACATTTCAGTAGCAGATCTCTCTTCACATTCAAAGCATTTTTATATCAGAAAACAAGGCTACATTTGTCCGAGTATGAAATGCTGTGATTGTGAGCAAGGGAGACAGGAACTACTTCTCAGAGAATACTTTTCAAAATTAACCGTTTCTCATTTTCCAATTAATTCAAACTTTTCAAAATAAATTTCAAAATTAATCTCTTCTAAAGACTAGCCCACAAACCTCTTCGAATCAGTACAAAGGTATGATATCTTACAAAGAGAAAACCACCAAGTGAATTAAATGGATACTGCCAATCACACTGTCAATCTGTAAACTGAAGAATTACATTAAACCGATCTTTGTATATTCAGTATCTAACTTTTACACAGTCAAGATGCAGGAAATTTGCTTTGGTTTCATCCCGTGAGCAAGAACGAAAATCATGTCTGAAGAACATGAATACGAATAAACTACAAAGAATCTCAAGTTCAAAATTATCAGCAATCTCCTATTGATTATAAAGACATGATGAAGTGACACAAGGCCCAAAAGCTTGTCTGCTTGTTCCAGTACATAAATTGCTCTAATAAAATTTGTTAGCTCTACCATAGATCTTGTCTTCCTAGACCATTCTGGCTCATCAACATCAGTAAGACTGCATTATTAATTGTATCTTATGTGTGCTATGAGGACAGGAAACTGTTGAAAGTTGGTCTTCACAATGCAGGTTTGTAAATACCTTGCAGATCCCTAGTTTTATTTTGTTTCTATTTGCATCCATTTCTTCCCAAACGTCTTTTTCCTGAGGACGCTGATGCCCAGGGGATCCAGGTAGTTTCTCTGGTGAGACAACCACTGGAATAGCATTCTCTCCATCACTGAGCTGTTCATCAGGAAACACTTCATCTGTGTTTTCTCGCAGCAAATCTCCTGGGATAGGAGTGGCATTGGCAATTCTACAAGAATAGTTCAAAAAAATATATATAAATTTGAGAGGCTAATGTGTTTCTTGAACTTATTTTCTACTCTGTTAAAAGAAAGAAACAGAAAAAATTACAAGAAAAAGTATGTTTCTGTAGAAAACTAAATTTTGTAAATTATTTAATATAAAAACTCCTAATTCTTGGCTGTCACAATTTCGCTTACTTTAATTTAGGTACATAACAAAAGGTGTAAATAAAAACCCAATAACTTAAAAGATGTTTTTTTTCAAATGTTTTCAAAGCAATTTCTGAGAAAATTTGTTAGAGATCATGTTCAGGTTCAACTTTGCTCCTGACTCTTCTACACATATTTTTCCATGCAAAAGAATTAATGGCAACTTTCATAATAGAGATTCCTTTCCCCAAAATTTGGTAGAATAACAAAACATACTGTGTGAGGAAGAGAGATCACTTAGCAAACTAAATGCAGTTTTAATCACTATTCTTATCAAAGTGCTATTTTGCTGCAATTACTGATAATCAAAACATAAGCATAATGCTAACAAGACATTACATTTTAATTAAAGTTCTGTAGTCCCAGTGACCTGGGGCTAAACAGGGCTAAGGCTTAGCCCAGTATCTGAAACTGAAGCAAGGCTATTGCTAAAAAGTGAATGGTCAGAAGGTCAATTAAAGGTCATTCCTTTACAGGCACAAAAATTGTGAACTGCAGCCAAGACTATCAATAACTCCAGTGTGATGCTTAGTGTGATAATGGGATTGAATCACATGTAAAATCCCTGTCAACTCCAGTATGTTCAACAGTGCACATCGTACACCTGTGTAATACTAACACCAGTTAATGTCTTGACTGAATTTAATTTAATCCGTTTTCTTTTTTAAATTACCTTGAATTACTGGGTATTTAATACATTCTACGTGAAATTCTGGTGTTTTTCAGCCTCACCACACTATCAAAACTCCCACATCACTACCTTTGTGACTCTTGGATAAAAAGTTGATCTACTCGAGGCCTAGAACAGGCACAAAGTCTTCCTCCTTGCCCATAAACACCTCTTATATTCTCCGATCCCCTGAGATGAGTATGGGTATTATTAAACCCATTATAGGTATCTCGTCCAACTTACATAATTACAGAAGGTCTCAAAGACCACATTAAATACTATTTTAAACAAGACCAAAGCCTATTTCTGAATTTCCTATAAAGATCCATTCTTTTTTCAAAGTTATAAGGAAATTGGAGCCAGGAGTTTATTCCAAGCTTAGAGAAAACAATGGGTTTAATTCCAGGGAGTTAAATTCAGCCCGTATCATTTAGTTTCACAAAATATGATTTAGCAAAGGATGGACTAGAAAATTTACACACAATTTCATGAGCTACAATTTTTTATTGCTATTTAGGACTACAGTGCTGATCTTTGAGGACAGTATAAAAGGGAACCCTAAACAGGGAAATATTTCAAATGCTACCAATCCTCCACTCCTCTATTTATTCAACATTCTGCAGAAAAAAAAAAAAATTATGGAGATAATCTCCCTTTGGTACACTGTGGCTGCTTTTTAAGTGACCACAATGTGCATACATACCCAATTGCAGCTGGAGTAAGACGAGTGTGCAACTGAGGCGTGGTTGAAGTTGTTGTCGTTGTCAGAGAGCCATCAGTTCCACTCTTCTCCCAGTCAAAAGGGTCGCTTTCAATAACCCCAAATGTTTTCATGCTGTTGTCAAACACAGACATGAGAAGCTAAAAATGAAGAAAAAAGTTAGTAAGTCTCATTTTTGTCTAAGACCAAGCAATTAAGAAATATCCTCTTGTAATACTTTAAAATGTCTCTTTAAGATTTTGACTGACAACAATTTAAAAAAAAAAAGACACAGTTCTCTATATTAACTATTTCTCATTTTCCAAGGTTGCAAGGTCAAGATACAAAAAATTCTGTTCTATCAAAAAAACAAACAACCCACATCTGTGTTTTTATGAGTAAAGAGAAGCAAAGAAACACCATAGGTTTGCAGGAAAAGACAGAAAGACACACGCGCACGCAGACAGACATTGCTGCACAATAGCATCCAATGGCTCTCCAGCAGAGGAAGATAAAAGAATATATTCGGTAGCGCCATTAGAAACCAAGGAAATTAATGAGGAGAACACAGGGAAGGATACTGATTTGTTAATTCGTACACTTCCATCATTTAGAACTATGTATCATTTACTTTATCTAATGCTGACATTCATCCCACGGAAACTTCACACAGGAAGCTTTTCATCCTATTTTATGCTATGAAAAAGCATCTAGAACAATTTGTGTCCATGATAGAGAAAGAAATTGCATCTACTTTCCGCTCCCTTTGAAAAAACTTTGTCTCATTCTAGTCGCTGGTGGGAAGGCTGTGTCCATATTGCATCATCTCTTACTCTGTAATATTTCTTACATTATTCTTTTTCCTAAAAGTTAAAAAATATAGTTTTCATTCTTTCTTCCTATCTAGGATACCGAAAATTTTTCTCTGGCCTCCTTTAAAAACACATACCCTTTGGCAACTTAAAATGCATGGGAAGCTTGGACCATTCTACTTGTGATCAAATCCATTTTACCCTTACTCTCACAAACATGCGGTGTGCCGTCTATCTCAGTCAGTTCTGAAACCCTACCTAACTGTGCTAAGCCATGGTTCACTCTCTGTCCCATACGTACTCTCCTGTATTCTCCTCTTCCCGTAAATCTAAAGTAGTTTTTCTGAAGTAATTTTTAAGGTCATTCTCCTTTAAACCTTTTCTCCTATTTCTGCTATAAAGCAAATACAAACTCAAACGTTTAATGATGCCAGGAGGCTGAGGGAATGTGTGCAGAAGTACCTGAATAAAATAAACATATCTGACATGGCCAAATCAAACGTGGATTCTGGGACTATTGTCATTAACTTTTTAGGCTGTAAACTCTTCAAAGCAGAGATCTTGACCACGTACGTTCTTGTTCAGTGCCTAACCATAAATACGAACAAAGAACGATACGTATTGAAGCTATGAATAACACTCCTACAACAAACACTAGTCAACAGAGACTGGAGCTTAAACGACCCTGGAAAGTAAAGCACTTTCTCGCCTCTCTAAAAACCACCCTGCTCTGGTCTAAAGCACAAAACAAGACCATGTCGGAAGGCTCAGGCTGCAGCTCCACAACTGCAAACGTTCCATGATCAACAAGAGGACTGCAAACTACTGGGCTGTCTCTATCATGGAGAAACTCTATCCTGAGATCCCATTAACTCCTGAGCACATGTGCTGTGTTAGATAGTAGTAGAACACAGAAGAAGGTTTTGCAAAAACAAGCCTGTGTATATGTTTTATCATTCAGGATATAAAACATAAATAAAACATATTTACCAAGCTACAGTTCAAGGCTTTTCTATGCAACATCAAAATTTCTGCAAACACTAACTTTTACCATGGAAATAAAACATAAACCTGATTCACCTTTATAACTAGGTACACAAAACATTCAAAACATTCTTAATAATTTTCCTCACTTAATTGTAAACTATAGGATAAATTCCATGGAAATTTGTAATAGAAAAGGAAAAAAAAAATAAGGTATTCATTTTTCAGGAACGCTGTACATTTTCTGTATTTGTAGCAAGATTTTTTTTTTACATTGAAATTTTTGCACAAAAATTGATTTTTTTTTTTGCAACTGTACAGAACATACCAGTATATTCAGAAAAATTCAATTACTAACAGGAAATTAGTTATCTCTTGAGATTTTCAGTTCCTATTTTGAATCTGATATATTTTGATTTCTCTGTTAATCCTCCAAGTAAAGCACAGGAATCATTCTTATCAAAGTTACAATTCCAGAATTAGTCAGAATGATTTATTTATTCAGTTGAACCAATTCAGCTTCCACACCAGCAGAAAATCATTCCTTCTGGTTTTACTGAGTTAGTGAGTTAAACAAATGCACAGAGGCAGACAGTTAATGCAAGTGGGAAGCTGACAGGAGTATGTGTTTCTGGGAACCAGAGGGAAGGCACATAGGGACAACTTGTTGTGGTGTGATGTGAGATCAGTTCAACTTCTGCTATAGTTCGTGAGACTGAAAAAATTCTCAGTCTCTCCAGCCCTGCTTTTCCTGAGCATTCCTTGCTGATTTCCACATACTGATATAGAACAAACTTCTACCTTTGAGTTTTATTCATTATTAAATCATGGGCCAACACTGAGTGAGCAACATCCATATGCTGCAGCCTTTCCTCTCGGCACCTATCACATCACACTGAGCTGAAGCTGTCCATTTCAGCAGGCAATGCTCTCTTAACAAAGGAAAATGACTGGGTTTTTAGTGATCTCTGAAATCAAAGCATACTGAAGATGAAACAACATAACATTCTGCTATTTAAAAATCAGAAAGATAAAATAGTATAAATATTTACCTGGTAATCGGGCTTTGTAAAGTAATCTAAATTAGAAATGTGATCCAGAAAGATGTTGAATTCTTGAGGAAGATGTTTCAACATAAGTCTGTGCTCGTACCTTTCCTTAATAGAGCCCACTTGCTCCTGAGTAAACAGCACAACAAACATTAACACACCTTCATTCTCTGCCACAGCAGTCACCTTATATCTTACAGTCATTCAGTACTCTATTGGCCAGAGAGATGGGCAAGTACATTGCACCGAGTAGTACTGAGGAAGGCCATTTTAGATCAGATAGCAAGATAAGAGATCCGTCATTGCCCTCCGTACACACGCAAAATAATGTACAAACTTCAAGTTCAATATAAAAAGCCATTTAATTTTCTGCTACATTTGAATGCTGCCTGATACCAAGGACTGTTATTAGACATTCCAACCCTTCCAAAAAGCATGTTTTAAAGATTTAAATATCCTGTTGGATCATCTGAAGTTCAGTCACTTCTTGGTCATCACAGTATTTCGGGTAAGATTAGTAAATCCTGTTTACTGTAAGATGAGTAAATCAGAATCAAAAAAGAGATTCTAACTATATACCACGTTCTCATCTACCACTACATAAACCACATCAGAGTGTAAGCTTGTTTCAATCTGATTTCAAAAGAAGTTGAAAGAAGTAATAATAAGGTAATTAGACATTGTTGTTTCTTCGCATACCTCACCTATGATATATGACTATAGGTACTACTGCATATTGACTGATTCACTTTTGTTCACCAGCAAATAAGAAATGCCAATTTCACAAATAACAAAAAAAGATTAGAAATGCTATATGTGTGATAGGAGAAATCAAAAAGTACTCAAGTGAAAACAGGAAAATGAATTAAATGGCAGATATACGCTTACTTTTGCCTTTTAAAACATTTGCAAACTAGAAGCACAACTCACTTCCTGCCTAGAACAGTTCATAAAACTTGATTGCTTTTTATACCATGACACTAGCACTGAGAACTAACACTAGAAAACACTGGAAAATGCAATGTTAAAATTAATGAACTGGTGATTCTTAGTGGAATTTTTATCACAGCATTTGCTTGCAGAAGTAAATCTCCCTCATGCTCTTTGGTTTCACTTCGAGGTTTACCTTATCTTTTATTTTTCTCCAAGGCAGTTGTCCAACCACAAATTCCACCAACATGTAGAACAGGGACCAGAGGTCATCATGCCGACCCATTTCCTGTGAAAAAGAAATATTATTTTAAGGCATCTTACAAATACCTATAGGACAAAAGGGAAGATAAATTCTTTACTGCTCTGAAGATTTAAATTACTGTATATAAAAATTAATATAATCAATGGTGCAAAACCAGTTAATATAACTAAATCCAGCAATTATTTTAAGTAGAAAAATATAAGTAAACTTCCATAAAAGATACAAAGAAACAAAACAAATCATAGCATCATATAGAATGGTTAGGGTGGGAAGGGACCTCAAAGATCATCTAGTTCCAACTCTCTGCCACAGGCAGGGACACCTTCTACTAGACCAGGTTGCTCAAAGCCCCGTCCAACCTGGCCTTGAACACTTTCAGGGATGGGGCAGCCACAGCTTCCCTGGAAAATCTGTTCCAGTGCCTCACCACCGTCACAGTGAAGAATTTCTTCCTTAGATCCAAAATAAATCTCCCCTCCTTCAGTTTAAAGCCATAGCCCCTTGTCCTATCACCACATGCCCTTGTCAAAAGTCCCTCTCCAGCTTTCTTGTAGGACCCCTTTAGGTATCGGAAAGCTGCTATAAGGTCTCCCCGGAGCCTTCTCTTCTCCAGGCTGAACAACACCAGCTCTCTCAGTCAGTCTTCACAGGAGAGGTGCTCCAGCCCTCAGATCATCTTTGTGGCCCTCCTCTGGACCCACTCTAACAGCTCCAGGTCCTTCTGTGTTGGGGACTCCAAAGCTGAATGCAATATTCCAGGTGGGGTCTCACAAGAGCAGAGTAGAGGGGCAGAATCACCTCCCTCGACCTGCTGTCCACGCTGCTTTGGCTGCAGCCCAGGATACAGTTGGCTTTCTGGACTGCAAGTGCACATTGGTGGCTCATGTTGAGCTTCTCATTAACCAACACCCCTAAGTCGTTCTCCTCAGGGCTGCTCTCAATACATTCTCCGCCCAGCCTGTACTTGTGCTTGGGATTGCCCTGACCCACGTGCAGGACCCTGCACTTGGCCTTGTTGAACTTCCTGAGGTTCTCACAAGCTCACCTCTCAAGCCTGTCAAGGTCCCTCTGGATGGCATTCTTTCCCTCCAGCATGTCAACCACACCACACAGCTTGGTATTGTCAGCAAACTTGAAACATGTTAAAATAACATTGCAATTCTCTATACTGGAAGAGTGTTTATTCAGATTTCTTTAGTGTATGATTTTAAAACGACATAGCGGAAATTATGTATTTTATAAAACTCAGTAACTTCACCTTTTTAATTTCTTAACTTACAATACAATTGAAGACCAAAGGTAACTATTAAACCCACTATTATTTCTACAACAAGATTTTTTTTTCCCTCAACTATTGTAAAGTATATTATCCTTTCCCAAAATTTATAAGTATGAATTTCTACATAATAAATACACACATAAGAATACAAAAAAGGAAATCAACAGCAACTGCATTACTGACTGCTTTCAGCTACATGAGATGGATATGATATATATTGAGATACTCACTCTGTTTCTATGAGCATTGATTGATGCATATCGTACTGTTCCTCGAAAACCAGCAACAGCTCGTGGCTGTCAAAGAATAAAGAAAGAAAAAGAGTCTCATTGCCAGAAGTAAACTCCTTAACTTGGCATGTACAAAGTGATTATGGAGCCACAATAAATATAATTTGAGACTTTTTGTTTTAAACCATCTATTTACATCACTTTTTGATCTCCACAGGCATCAAGTCCTGTTTACTTCATCTCTCAAAAAAGCTATTATGGCAGTATATTCCTCTTTTTTCTCCAATTATAAAATTACTTCTTGGTTTTAACTATTAGAAGTTTGAGTTTTTAAATTCTGACAGGATCTAAACCATAATGATTTCTTTCACTTTGCTAAAATACACTAATATTACATGGTATAAACAGCCATTTATTGAAATGTGCTGGCAACATTTTCACAAATTATTTTCTGAACTAGCAAACCAATCAATTTTTTTGAGAAATTGCAAAAGCAGGGAAAGCCATAGGTAAGTCTCAAAGCTGTGGCTGAGTAATAAATAGGAAGGGCTGCACTATAGGCACCAATTAAAAATATTTCTTTCTTTTCTAGTTTCTGAATACCAGAAACTTTCTTCCCTGTCACTCTAGATACTGTATGATCATAAGTCAATTGGTGTTTTATAATCACAGAATATATTTTCCCATCCTTCTTTCCTTCAAATAAAATATTACACAAAGAACTATATAATTGATGACAGCAATAATTAGTCCATATTTACAATTTAAAAAAAAAAGTCAAACCATGGCATTATTACTTTGCCTAAGACATATCGAATCCATTCTACCCCCTTAATTAATCATTCTATATAGAGAGAACTGACAGAACTGCTCAATTTGCTTTCTTTTACACAGTTTTATCTTCTCAATCAATAATTCTTCTGTTTCCTCTAACACTGAATGTGAGAAACTTGAATTATCTTTCTCACCTCTGACTTATACATAAAGGGATATGGGTGATTTGTCTGCCTGCCCCAGACTCATGACAATTCTTCAGATTTTAAAAAATTTTGCACTATACATTGAGAAGTCCGGTTTGATATACACACAAAAATAACCACAATACAAAATTATTACCCTATTAAGATGAAACATTTCAGTGTCTCCCCATCTATGTATATATATACATAGGCATAATATCTTCGTGTCCACCAAGAGATGCTACACTGAGAGCTATTGTTTAAGTACATCAGGAGCTCTCCTTACTGTCAATAACCCTATCAGTTAAATCCAGAAGGATTATGTGGCAACATCTCTAAAAAGGATTAAACAGCTCATATAATCAATGTCTGCTAGAGTGGTATGATGAGAGCTGAACCAGTGTTAGTTAACGCAGAGAATATTTTCTAGAATGTTCTTATAATGAACAGGTTCTCAGACGATATTCCCTAAATCTTAGGTTTTGCACATTATCATAAAGTTTAAATGGTGCTTGGAATGCATTCTGTGTTCAGACAGGACAGACAATTGAGTTACTATCTTAAATCTTGTAAGTATATCATATTCCATACTGAACATTATCCTGAAATGAAGCATAACACCGTAGTTGCAGAAATTTCATAGTACCATGCAATTATAAAAAGAATAGCTCAAAATGCTTTGGAAATGCTAAATTTCAGGAGAAACTAAATTTTTCAAAAAAAGGACTTAAGTCTCCTTCTTAATAGATCTGAAGATTAACAAACTTGACTAATACTTCTTCAGAAGGGCACTGAGAGCCCTTAAAAAAACCCCTGTATTTCCTTTAAAACACATGGAAATAAATATTCAATATATTTCAAGAGTATAAAGTTTCAGAATGAAACCAAATGCTTATTGTCTTTAGCCGCTGGTCTGAATGCTAAAAAGGAAGGACTATATTCACTTTTACTAAGTTAAATATTTCATTGTTCTCAGAGTAATGAAAAATATGAAAACTAGGATGAAATGAGGCTTTGATTCCTAGGGTAATAACTTCAATTTCTACTTGATAACTAGCACAAAAACATTCTAGTTGCTTGACAAGGAAATAAAAAAAGCATAAGAAATAGCATATGGAACAAAAACCTATCAGGGTTATTCCAGTTCTGTCCTGGGGGACAAAAGTCTGTATGAGGAATTTCACTGTGTATCAGTTCAATTGCTTTTGAATATTAAAGTTACTGCCATCTTTAGACATTCCTATGAAATCATTTGCCCTAAGATGATTTCAATTATCTGAGAATCACCTGGCTGAGGAAATAAAAAAAAAGCATGACTACTGTTTCTATATATTAGAATGAAATTAATAATAATGAATAATTATAATGAAATGAATTCTGAATTCTTTACCCCAGCAAGGATATTTAAATCCTTTTACAATCTCTTGCCTTAAAATGTAGTTTGTATAAAGCTAACTTAAGAGCACATGTAACTCTTACATTTTAAGACACAATGAAATATCTTTTCGTAATGCAGCTAGTCGCTATTTAATAGTGGTATTACAATGCCACACAACAACAATAAATTAATTCTATCATGTCACTAATAACATGAATGATGGCTTAGTAGCTCAAATCAAGTTTGCCCAATGCAGAATAGAATTCACAGACTTCTGAGAATTTGTAAAACTTCTGAAACTGTTTCAGAGCTTTTCAGAGCATCTTGCAGCAGCTCATGTAGTAAAAGAGAAATATTAAAGGCAATAATAGCAACTTCCTGAATCATTCACCTCATTTTTTCAAATAAAATCCCCCTCTGCTATTAGTGATCGTGTTAATTTGTTTTTAAACATCTCCAAATTTTTCCGATCTGAACTCCCGCACTATCAATTGGGGGGGGGGGGGAGCCTTGCAAAAAAATTGTTTATAGTATTGTCCTCCAGACGCTTTATCTAAGAAAGCTGCTACCACAGCAATTGCACTTCCTTAAAGCAAAGTAGATTTCCTCATTGAGTTAAAAAGTTTAATAGGTCAAATTTTTTTGGTCATTAAAGATGACCTATTAAGACAAGCAACAGAATTTATGGCATTTTTTGAACATATAGCTGTAAAGGGCATTTCTACTAAAGAGATGGTGAATCCTACATCTGAATACATCCGTGATTCCACTGGCACCTTAGGTTAAAATGGATCACACCTATGCCATAATCAACATTGTCCTGCTTTTTCACTTGAAATTTAGTAGGGTTTTTCTTATCGGTCATACACTGGGAGCAACCGCCACATCCAGGTACCGTCTCAATTGCAGGGATCCATTAACAGTCCACTCAGCAGTGGATTCCATTCTTCAGCTCTTCCATATTTAACAGCTTTATTTAGCTTACATTCATTTCTATTTATTTATGGCAACAATTGTTACCATGTTTTTCCTTCAGATAGAGTAAGAAAGCTTTTGAAACAGACAACTCTCAAATCAGCACAGGAACAAACAGGAAATTAGGAAAGAGTTCTTAGATTCTGGAGTCATACTTTCTGCAGAAAAAAGAATTCCTACAAAAGTTTCCTTAAATCCCAGCCATTAAATTAGTGGTAATGGCCATACAGATCCCATGATTTAGTTCCTTTATTAGAATAACGGATATAATTTCTAAGAAGGATAGAGTTCTTCCATACTTCTATTCGACACACAACATCTCAAAAGCAAGAGAGATATTTTGCAAATCTTCTACAAAACTATAACTTGTTTGGATCAGTTTACATAAAAAGTTTTTCCTAAAATAATTTGCTCAAGCAGCGATCAGAGCAGTCAGAGTTGTCTCAGATTTGATTGTTATCACTAAACTCCTCAAATGTAAGTCAAAATAAATTATTCTGAAGATACATGCATATGAAGCTACCTTTTTAACGCAATCATGGAAACTAGATAATAGCCATTAAAAAATAAAACAATAATGATTCTTTACATTATATCTGGCACACACCATGGTTCTTCCTATTAGTCAGGCAATGACTGAGAATTCTTAATTAACTTCAGGTTTTGGATTGAGAAACCAGCTCAAGCAGTGAAACCCACCTTCTCAGTGCTGCCTTTGGAGCTGAGTTCTAAAGTGCATAAGAAGGTGGGTACAGAAGCAACCACCTACATTACCTCTCTTTCCTTTTGATAGAAGCAGGATCCTCTCTTCTTATCCTTTCCCTTTAAAAAGTCAATTTCCTAGTTCTTTTTCCCAACAGGAACATAGTTCCAGGAATGGAACTATACCCAGTTCCAGTTCTTTGATGCCTTTTTTCATACCAAATGGCTTCAACAATTCACATTTCCATTCCTCCTTTTTTGTGGATATAAGCTTTGCAATCTCATTTAATGCCTAGCATGTGTTAGCATCTATTTAAAGTAAATAATAAATTCAGGGATCCTCTGAGTAAGGAAAGACCAAGCAGTTGAAATACAATTGCCATTACAATATATTATACATCTCAGTTTTCACTGTATACACAGCTTTTCAAACCCACACTTTTAGCTCTGTATAAAAACCACACCAGTCACTAATAGCAGAGTACTTGCACTTAGAACTTTCTATCGACCTATCTCCTACCAGTTGTCAGTATGACACATTATTTGGACTCAGACCTAGCTAAACAGAAGTTGTGATTTCCAAAAATTGATTGCAGCTGTCTGCTCCTATGCTATCTAGTTCCAGCAGAAGCTGGGTAACCAGCCAACTTAAGATCTAACAGTACAATTAAATTTTACCGTTGTGTGTTCTATCAGACAAGTGGTGACAAATGAAAATTTAACTCAAACTACCTGTGCTATAAAGAGCATCACCATCTCCAAGACAGCACTGTTTGATACACGAACCAGCTCCTGAGCGACTCGGTGTTCAATCTGGAGTATTTACTTTGCCAGTGTGATACACTAGCTGAAAATGTCGATCATTCCAAAGCTGATTTGTAAGCAGATAAAAAGTCTGGTGGGCTGGAGGTGGTAACAACCTACTAAGTGTCTGTCACACACCATAACTTACTGTAATGAAAAATCACACAGATAAATCTGCCATGTTATGTTTGCTTTGCCCTGTGCAATCTTTCTTCTTCCTCTTATACCACGAGCTGTGCAGATTACCG